CATGCAAATAATTAAAATAAAATTAATTATATTGACACGTAGTTTTGAGGCTATTAATAGATAGTTAGTGATGATCATGTAAAAATGTTTAAAGTGTCGCTCTGCCTCCTCTATATATTCTCGAATATCTTTGTATGCCATCTATAGTTATAACTAGCCGTTACCCTCGACTTCGTCCGAGCAATATTAAGATAAAAAGTATCCTATAACATGCCCGTCTATGTCAGCTGCCATTCAGTGAAAGTACCGCAAAGCCATTTCGGAGTTTGCCCGGAACAAACGCGGCTTGCGGACAGACAGACGAAATTTTTTTAAATGCGATTTTCGTTATCAGCAAAGCAAATACATCATCTTCTAATTTCCAGGTACTGCCCTAACAGATTCCCCATCAGGTCTCCTAATTTACATTCTACAAATGTTCTCAACGTGGACTTGTAGGAAAGACGTGTCCAAACCCGACGGTGGTTTAAATTTGCACTTTAGTAAAGAGCAGATCATTGACAACATAATGTACTATTGGGCGCCTAATTCTATTAATACTGCGATTAGATTATACGCTGAGTCCTTTAGTAAGAAACATTTGGACACAAAATTAGATGAGTAAGTAACTAAATTTAAAAATATAGCTTTCGCTCGCGATTTCGTACGCGTGGATAAAAAAGTGAGTAGCCTGTGTTCTTCCAGACTATCCTCTACATCTATACCAAATTTCATCGAAATCCGTTCAGTCGTTTAGACTCCAAATTCTAACAAACATCCATCCAATAAACTTTCATATTTATAATATTAGTATGAAGTATGACACCGTAAATGACTATTTTTTTTTAATTTTCAGAATACCAAGCTACGTACCAACTTGGTTGTTACAATCTAAGCACGAACCAATGTACCAATCACCTTTAGTCACAAGATTCAAGTTTCCTAACTTATTAAACGTCACGTTGTTGGATGATGGCGGCCATTTTGTTGCCTTAGAGCTTCCGGAAGCGTTCTCTGATGACGTCATAAAAGCTGTTGGCGAATTTAGAAAATGGAACGCACAGAAGACCGAGCTTTAGTTTTGTTCTTTTTAAATGTTTTGTTGAATTGTTATGTTTTTTAATTTTTAATTTTGTATTAAAGTTGGTATATATATTTCTTTGTGTTTTTAATTTCGTATGTTTGTTATTTTTGTGTAAATGCAAAATAATAATCAATGTACAATTTTAAAATACATTTATGATATAATTTTTAAAAATATTTTTGTGTTTTCGTATTTTTTTTAATTATAGCCACGAAACAGAATTCGTATAAAACTTCAACCTTTTCAATTATTTTTCTACAAAAAGCTGAATTTATCTACATTACATTGAAGTTTGTCATTGGCTAGCTATCCTCCCTAGGGGCGGCGCGCGTCCCCAACCAGCCCCTAACTTAGCAGACGTGTGCCGACAAAGATAACTTGACTGCACAAAGCCTCCATTGAACCGGAAATGGGTTTATGCAATGTGTAATTTATTTTAACAAGGGCAGTTGTGGGAAATTTATGATTATACTAGCTGTTGCCCGCGACTTTGCCCGCGTAGAATTTGAAAACATACGAACTACATAAATAACTAAAAGCTACGTATCCCTCGGGAACCGGACATTTCTCGGGGATGAAGCTTATCCCATGTGTACTCCAGACTTTGTTTTATATCTGTGCCAAATTTCAATAAGATGTTTTGAACCGTTGCGGAATTATCGAGCAAGCATAAAAAAACTGAATTAACGAATCCCACGGGAACCGTAACTATTTCGGGGATAACAAGTAGCCTATGTGTTCTTCCAGACTATGCTCTAAACCTGTGCCAAATTTCATGGAGATCCGTTCAGCCGTTTAGACTACAAACGCTAACAAACATCTATCCATCTATCGTTACTTAAGCATTTCTATTATTAGTAACATCAGTAGGATATGATTAATATTATAATGCGAATGTTTAGATGAATTTGTTAGAGTTTGTAGCCTAAACTAAACGGATCTCTATGAAATTTGTCTCATATGGATATGGCTTATATTGTAATTATGATTTTGGCTAATATTGTAAAGATAGATACACATAGGATACTTACTTTTGCATTTTAATTCCTGGCACACGGATTCGCGACAGAGAGCTTGTCAAAATCTTAAATTTTGCTTTCAATTGAAGTGAATAGGTAAAAGAAAAGGTTATTAAAATAACGACAATTTAGATGACATTATATTATTTATTATTTACATATTTTGTCTTCAAATTACATCTCAATCATATTATTTTAAGATTAACAATATAGGGTTTGTTAAACACGATTTGAATCAATAAATAACCACAGGATCCAGAAAACAAAACCTTATTTCCTTTAAAAGAAAATCTATTTTAAAACTACATCACAAATAGTTTATTTTTCAAATGAAATAATTCACAATTCATCATGTCCTTTATACTGCGAGCGGAATTGAACCATAGCTTTCATAATATCCTCTGCTAATACCAAAGGGAGTTCCAACGCTAGGAAATGACCTCCCGTGTCTAAAGTTGTCTCGTTTATAAGATTAGGGAATTTCAGTTTGTACAACCACGGAGGTATGTAAGATATCTCGTATTTAGCTTGTAATATCCAAGCTGGAACTGATGATGGAATGCTGGAATTCAAAGAAATTGTTTGTAATAAAATATTTTAATACTAGCAGTTGCTCACGTCTTCGCTTCTTCACTGAAAATTGTAAAAAATGTAGCCTATGTTACCCAACGGTAAAGTAGGTTTTTAATGGCAAAAGAGTTTTTGAAAACAGCCAAGTAGTTTTTGAGTTATTTCAATACAAAAAAAAAAAACAAATCTTTCATTTTTTAATATCAGTTTAGATAGCTGTTTCTAAAGATTATGTCTGCGTGGAATTAAAAAGAGCTTATGTTAATGTAAACGCAGGTTGGTAATGGTAAAAAATTTGTGAAAATACATACAAAAATACTAACATTTATTTATAATATTAATATAGATTATTTTATATCTTACTTCTTGCTAATATTAAAATTCGAAGGTTGAGATGGATGTTTGTTAGAATTTGTAGCCTAAACTGCTGAACATATCTTGATGAAATTTGGCATAGATGTAGAGGATAGTCTGGTTACACATATAATATATTTTTAATCCCGGAAATAGGATAACAGTTTTATTTCAATTTAATGTTACCTGTCCATACGAAGACCGAAGTATCTCGGGCTGAAAGACTCGGCGTATATTCTTCCCGCAGTGGCCATAGAGTTAGATATCCAATAGACCATCAGATTGTCTATTAACTGTTCTTTAGTGTAGTGCAGTTGTAACCCACCGTCAGATCGGTAGCGGTAGTGTTCGCGGGTACCTACTGATATCTTCTCGAAGTAATACGCAAGTAGACCAGCTGGTGAGTCCGTTAATGCGATATCTAGAATTATAAAGTGATTGAAAACAAATTAAAGAAGACGCCAATAAATCTGTTGCAGAAATTTGTTTAATGGCCCGAAGCAATACTACGAACACAAAAAAGACACTTGAACCGACCATATTCCCGAAATCTGGAATTTTCCTTTTGATATAACAAACAGATACACCAATCTATACTATTATAATAAAGCGTAAACACACACTTCTTTGTTGCCTAAGATGTCAGTAATCACAGCATATTTTTGAATAAATCTTTCTTTAATAAAAAACCCTACACTTACGTCATGCTTTAGGCTATATATTTTCACGCCATTAAACTTAGGGGCTAAATATTTTGGATAAAAACCCTAATGTGGGAAAGAGACCATAAGTTGCTTTCAACATCAAGGAAGCAAGATTGCTAAGGTTTGTCAACGTCATGTCATTTTGACATTTGCTATTGATAATTTGACAAATGTAAACAAGTAAATAAAATTTTCATAATTTCATGCGGATGAAGCCGCACGGGAACAGCTAGTTTTATTATATGTATAGATTTATCATATTCATCCAGTAATTATTAAAAAATAACTCACCGATTGTATCAGGTTTCGTTGCCTGAAGATGGAAGTATCCTGACTCTAAGATAATTTTATTAAGGAATTTCGATAGAGGATACATTCTATCAGCAACTTCTGGTCTCACGACTAAAGAAGGGAAGTAATTGCCTACAATTCTTGCGAATAATTGTAACGGAGACACATTTGTTGGCATACTGCTGTGATAACCTAAAATTTCCTGCAAAAATAAATTAAAACAGTCTTATAAACTTATTTTACAATAATTTAAACATTAATAAATGTGTGTTATTATTTTAATGTCACTTATGAAATAATAAAATTAACGGCCGCAAGAATCTTCTATTCTTGAGATAATAAATTAATTAGTACTTTATATAAAATAGAAAAGTCTTTTTACATGTAAACAGATTATTTTTTAGATTGCTATTTCAATCTTTACCATAGATCAATCAAAGAACCAAATAGATTAAAAATGTTTTCGAGATCATAAACTGTTTCCTGTGGGAAGGTGATGCAAAAAAACGAAACCTTTTGTTTGCTATTTAAAATTCAAAGGTACACTTAAAAGTGATAACAATTACATATTTCATTTATTAATCTCTGAAGTACTAGAAATCCTTACATCTGGGAAGAAAGTAGCCATATTACTGAGTACAACTGAGCCCCAATCAGCGCCGTGAACGTAAAACTTCTTGTAGCCAAGTCTTTGCATGAGGTTTCTTAAAACAACCGCCATTTTGTCAACACCGAAACCAGGTCTAATTGCACCCTGGAATAAAAAGCAATAAGAAAGACGTCTTTCAAATTATAAGGGCAGTTATACACGGACTGCAGACGACTGCAGACTACGTTCAGTGTATGTGTTCTTTCAGACTATTCTCTACTGTGACAAATATTTAGATCCGTTTAGCAGTTTTGGCAATTTTAACAAACATCAATCCAACCATCCAAACTTTCACAATTAAAACATTCGTAGTGTAGAATGTGTAACGCAAAATTATGTAAGATTTTGCATTTAAAATGTTATTATGTATGAAAAAAATGTAGAGTAAACGACATTTGTTTTGTTTATTTCGAATAATATAAATAATTGTTAATACTTACATCAGAGAAAGCAAACCCGGGTAGACTAGCTGCTATCACTTCAATCGCAAAGTCTCTGTATGGAGAGACCGAAGTCAGGACAGGGATCATTGGATAGAAGTCTAGAAAACTGGAAGGCCAGCCATGAAGTACTAGTAATGGCACGACCCGTACACCTAGGGGCACCTAGAATGTAGTCATGAAAAATTCTAAAAATTATAGGAAAGTCAGTTACTTACAGTTTCCCATTTTTCATTTACGATCCTTAGTGGGTAGGAAATTTAATTCCTTAACTACTTAATAAAGTAATTAAAATAAATAACATTTTATTAAGCAATAGAATGACATAACATACTTGTGTAAGTCTATGCAAAAAATACATATAAAAATATGAAAATAATAATCTTAATGACGGACGATTAATTCTAGTTAATAATTTAAAAAAGAAACAATACTAAATGCAGCCACATAAACAACATACGTGTCGGGTAAAAAATATAGAATTCAATTTATATTGAACGAAACGAAAGATCGTTTTATGAATAAAAATATTTCAATTAGTGTACGGTTATTGTATTTATGTTAACTAGTATCATTAAAAAAATCTTCTTCATTTGCTCACAAACACACACTATAATAATTGGTAAAATTGCGTTTGTTAAAATATTTTTTTGTTATCTGTAACATTGCTTGCTTCACATTTTGCACTCTCGCGCCTAAAATCTTAGTTGTTTTAATACAATTTAGGTCGTCCATTGCTTTCTTAGCTGCCAGTATTATTAAATATTCATACACATTGTTTTTGCAACTTAAACATTTATAATTACACAGTTAATTTCCTTACAAATATATGCTTTTAATTAATTAATAAAAATGTACTTGCAACTGTTGTCAGCGCCATCTATTATCAATTATTGCTTAACCAATTATAAATACACTAGCTGTTCCCCTGCTGCTTCATCCGCATGAAACTTTTATTACATTGTTTACATTTGTCAAATTATCAATAGCAAATGTCAGTGACATGACGATGACAAACCTTGGCAATCTTCCTTCCTTGATGTTGGCAGCAACTTATGGTTTCTTTCCCACATTAGGGTTTTTATACAAAATATTTAACCCTAAGCTTAATAGCATGAAAATTGTATAGCCTAAAGCGTGACGTAAGTGTAGGGCTTATTATTAAAAAGAGAATTATTCAAAAATATTCTGTAATTGCTGACATTTTAGGCAACAAAGAAGTGTGTGTTTTCGCTTAATTATAATAGTATAGATTTCGTCTCTTTCCCCCCTACACTCTAACCCCACGCGAAATGTGAAAGGATTTATAATTTGTCCATTTATCTACAGTCTACGTATTATACGAACCTCTGGCGTAACTCTTACAAAGTGTACATCAAGACCCTGGATATTAGTCTTGTATTGCGGGTACTTGTTAATCTCTATCATTCTCTCTTCGAATGGATACTGCTCAGCCCAGTAACGAAGC